CACCTCTGTGGGTGCAGCTCTGAAAGGTATTGGCCTTTTTTGTAGCTTTATTTATTGAAATGCTGCTCAGTTCTTGTCCATCACCCCTGAACTCCTGTCCATCATTTCTTGTGATGCTTTCCTACAGAGCTTTTCACTCTGGATTGTAAGGGTCATTTTATATTTAATACTTCTGTATTTTCTTGGAATCAAATCCCTGCACTTGCCATGATAGTTTTTACCTCCTTTTTTTTTACCTATACCTGCTGTCCTGCTGTCAGCTGCTGCTGCTGCTGCAGAAAAACCCCACATTTTTCAGGCAGCCTGGCTGTGCAGACCAGAGCCTTTAGCACTGCAGCAGCAGCAGCCACAGCCTTGACCAGGTGAGCTTTGTCATCTCCTGCATCTCAGCATTCATGTGGGATAGGAAGGCTTCATGCTACCATGGGAATTCTAATAGCTTGTAGCTTATTGTGTTTCTTTGGTTGGTGGTTGTTTGGGGTTTTTTTCCCTTCATTTTCTACCTTGACCAGTTAGTTTCTACAGGTGAATGAAACCAGTAGGTTTTGCTGGAATCTACTTTGAAAAAGGCTGATTGAAAACTTGGACACTTAATATACTTGATTGTATTTAAATATCTGGTAGGTGCTTTAAGGTCCTCAGAAGGTCTTCTGGAAGCAAATTCAAAAGCTTAGAAATGTGAAGACCAGTCCTGAGGACTTACTGATACTCACCAAGTCCATCTGCCTGTCCTCTGTGTGAGCAGGACAGGTGAAATGGCAGAAATGGGAATACTTCACTGGAGGGAGAGGTCATGCTATGTGAAATCCCTGGGGAACTGGAAATGTGCTTTGCCTGGCCCCACACACCCCACTGGCAGCATGGTGAGCCCTCCTGGTGTGACATGGCCTGACCCTCGGGCTCTGAGCAACTGATGCCTAGCAGCAACTTCAGATTCAGTAGCATGTAAAGCATTTTCTATTCTTTTCCTACTCTCAGATCTGTACCAAGTCGAATCCTCTGAGCAGAGACAGGGAGT